TTATATCTATGAAGAGTGGGGGGGTGTGTTGCCAGGGATGGGATTTAGTGATTATTCTTACTGCGGCTTTTTGTTGGGTTATTATTGGCTTTAGGTGTGTTGCTGCAGTTGAACCCCAAGCACAGATAGCATAGGTGAGGTATGGATATATAAGTGAATGGTATAGTGTGAGAAGTGCAGTTTGCGGCACATGTATCGTATCTTGGAGAGGATCCCCACTGTTTTGGATACTTTTTTTGTTATGTGTTGGATATGGGTGCTGAAATTTAGGTTGTCGAGGTATAGGCCAAGGAATTTGCCCTCGTTATGTCTGGCAATTAGAGTGTTGTCAATCTTAATGTTAAGTTGCGCAACACCAGCTCTGCTACCAAACATAATATAGTAGGTTTTGCCAGTGTTAAGTGTAAGTTTATTGGCTGTCATTCAAGTCGATATTTTGAGCAGCTCCTCGTTAACAATGGTGTTGAGGGTGGCAAGAGTAGGGTGGGAGATGACATAAGTCGTGTCGTCAGCAAAGAGAATGGGTTTCAAGTGTTGGGATATGTTTGGAAGATCATTGATGTAAATGAGGAAGAGCAGGGGTCCAAGGACACTTCCCTGCGGAACTCCAGTATCAAGTGGCCGTATTGATGAGGCTGGGTCTTTAATGGTGACATACTGATACCTATTAGAAAGGTAGGATTTAAAATATGCAAGCGCATGGCCTCTTATACCATAGTGGTTAAGTTTGTGGAGTAGGATGCCGTGGTCTACTGTGTCAAATGCTTTTCTTAGGTCAATAAAAATTCCTAGCGTATATTCCTTATTTTCCAATGCTGTGTGAAGCAGGTCTAGCATTTTTATAATTGCATCATTAGTGCTTTTATTTTTCCTGAATCCAAATTGGCAGGGGTTGAGTATGTTTTGTGCTGTTATAAATGAATATAGTCTCCTGTGCACGAGTTTCTCGAAGATTTTGGATAGCAATGGTAAGTTTGATATTGGCCTATAGTTGTTTACGTCTGTAGGGTCACCACCTTTATGTATTGGTGTAACCCTTGCTGTCTTGAGTAGTGTCGGGAAAGTGCTAGTTTCTAGTGACTTGTTAAAAAGTAATGTAATAGCATGCGAAAGGACATGGGCCGCTCGCTTCTACAATAATGGTGGGACGTGAGACAGATTCCCCGAGTTATTTTTAAGTGACTTTATGATCAAAGTGACTTCTGTGGGCTCAGTTGGTACAAGATAGAAGGAATTTTGGAAATTCCCATCTAGGTAGTCCCCGGCACGGGCATTGGTACATGCGACTTTATTTATTTATTTATTAACAATTTGAGCACACATACAGAGGTACAAAAAAATACAGATAAGAGCAGTATGCCAAAGCCACTTATACTATGCATAGCATTACGGGCTGGCTTAAAATTAACTTAAGAATAACTAAGCAATGATGAAATCAGTGATAAAACATTAATGTAAACAGATTACTATAAAGCACAAGTGAGTATTACAAAGACAGGTCATATGGTTGCATGCATTGTTGTACATTCAGTCGTATGAAGTATTCTGTTAGGTAGTGTATTTAAAAAATAATAAAGTTAGATTCGGTTTTAGGTTTAACATTTATGTGATATAATTATGAGAAACATTTAAGATATACAATTTATAAGGTTGAGTTATTCAGTATTTATTTGGTTTTGGGTGAGTAAGTGATCTTTGAGAAGAGACTTGAATTTATAAACAGGTAGTGTTTTTTTATATTTACAGGTAATGAATTCCAGATTTTAGGGCCTTTTATGTGCATTGAGTTTTTGCATAGTGTGAGATGGACACGAGGAACATCAAAGAGTGATCTGTGCCTTGTGTTATGGTCATGTGTTCTGTTGAGGTTGGCAAGGAGATGTTTGATGGGAGGGTTAATATCAGAGTTAAGTGTTCTATGTATGTAATAGGTGCAGTAATAAGTATGGATGTTTTGTATGGTGAGTAGGTTTTGTGTATTGAATATTGGTGGAGTGTGCTGCCTGTAGTGAGAATTTGTTATCATTCTAACTGCAGCCTTTTGTTGGGTAATTAGTGGTCTGAGATGGTTAATTGTTGTTGAGCCCCATGCACAAATTCCATAGGTGAGATAGGGGTAAATAAGAGAGTGATATAGGGCCAGGAGGGCTGACTGTGGAATATAGTACCGTATCTTCGATAGTGTGCCTACAGTCTTGGAAATTTTCTTAGAAATTTGTTGTATATGTGTATGAAATTTGAGTCTATTATCAAAGTGGATTCCTAAGAATTTTCCCTCTGTTAGCTTTGTGATAGGTGATCCGTTTATCATTATGTTAAGAGGGACATCTGTAGCTCTGTTACCAAACTGAATGAAGTAGGTTTTGTCAATGTTTAGTGTAAGTTTGTTAGTCCTCATCCAGGTAGATATTTTCTGTAATTCGGTATTTACAGTATTGGCTAGCGTGACTGGGCTCGGGTGAGAGAAGACGTATGTAGTGTCATCTGCAAATAGTGTGGGTTTGAGTAATTGCGAAGCATTTGGAAGGTCATTTATGTATAGGAGAAAGAGAAGAGGGCCAAGGACACTTCCCTGTGGGACACCAACTGTAATTGGTTGCGCAGAAGAGTTTGCCCCATTTGCGTACACATATTGGCTTCTGTTGCTGAGGTATGACTTGAGGTAGTTGAGGGAGTGCCCTCTTATACCATAGTGTGACAATTTTACGTGGAGCAAGTCATGGTTAACTGTATCAAAAGCTTTACGTAAGTCAATGAAGATCCCCAGTGGGACTTCTTTTTTCTCTATTGCAGTGTATATATGTTCTAGCATGTGTATAATAGCATCATTAGTATTTTTATTAGGCCTGAATCCAAATTGGCAGGGGTTGAGTATGTTTTGGGAGATAAGGTAGGAGTAGATTCGTTTATGAATTAATTTTTCGAAGATTTTTGAGAGAGGGTGTAAGTTGGATATTGGCCTATAGTTATTCAACTCTGTTTGGTCTCCTCCTTTGTGGATCGGGGTGACCCTTGCTGTTTTGAGTACTGTAGGGAAGGTGGAGGATTCAATGGATTTGTTAAAGAGTGTTGCAATGATTGGTGATAGCACTTGTGACACTTTTTTGTATATAAAGGGTGGTAAGGTATTTAAATCTCCTGCCTTGTTTTTTAGTGCGTTGATAATAAGGGAGACTTCGTATGGGTTAGTCGGAGCTAGGAACAGTGTGTTCGGGTAGTTGCCGGTGAGGTAGTCATTTGGTGGGGTATCTGAGCTTGGGATTTTATTGGCAAGGTTTTGTCCTATAGTGGAGAAGAAATCATTGAGTCTGTTTGCTGTTTCTGTTGGTGGGAGTTGGGGTTCATCTGATTTTGCTAATTTTATTTCGCTATTTCGTGATATCTTTTTTGTTCCCAGAATTTCTGATAGGGTTTTCCAGGTCTTTTTTATATCACCTCGTAAGTTGGATAATCTGTTCTCATAATACAATTTTTTTACTGGCAAGATTAGATCCTATGTTTGAGAAGAAGTCGTTTATCTTGTTAGCTGTATCAGTGGGATGCAGTGGTGTTTCATGAGGTTTAGTTAGAACAATATTCTTGTTTTTTTTTTCAGTTTGTGGGTCCCCAGAATCTGGGAAAGTGTTTTCCAGGTCTTTTTTATATCTCTTGTGTCAGTGAATCTGCTGGAGTAGTACAGTTGTTTGGCTTTCTTTATTAATTTGGTGAGAACTGTTGAATATTGTTTAAGAATATCTTTGTGTATTAAGCCCTGTCTATATTGCTTTTCATATTGGTGTTTCTTATCAATGGATTTCAGAATGCTGCTGGTTAGCCATGGGCAACCAAGCCGTTTATTTGTGATCTGTTTCGTTTTTATAGGACAATGTTTGTTGTATAGTCTAAGTATTTTGTTAAGAAAAATGTCTGTCCCATTGTCAATACCATTGGCATTGGAGAATTCTGTAGGCCAGTCAACAGTCTCTAGGTCTGCTGTGAAATTCCTTATTGAGGCCTCGTCATGGAGTCTAAATGAAACTTTGTTGTATTCGAGTGGTGGCTTACTAATGTTTGTTAAGAGGAAGGTTGGGTAGTGGTCAGTAGTGCTGTCTGTGATTATCCCTGATTTAAGGGGGGCTAGTATATTGGTCCATATGTGGTCTATTATGGTTGCACTTGTCTCAGTCAGCCTGGTTGGTTTAGTTATTGTTGGTATGAGGAGTGTGTTGTTCATATTGTTGATGAAATCAGTTACAGTCTGATCATCTGGTAGGCCAAGGTTGATATTGAAGTCTCCAGCTAAGAGAAGGTGGTGCTTGTTCATTTGTCTGTTTGTTATTAGTGACTTTAGATTCTCACTGAAGTTTGGGATGTTTGTGTGGGGTATCCGGTATATGGCACAGATTGTTATAGGCGTCTTGAGGTTTTTTACAGTAAAATTAGCAAAAATGTATTCCCCATATTCATCACTAAAGCAATTAGTGCTAATACAAGATAGTTGGTTAGAGTAATAGATTGCAGTACCACCCCCAACTTGGTATGGTCTGCAGTTGTGGATTGCTGTGTATCCTGGTAGTGGGTAGATATCAATTGTGTCCTGCTTAAGCCAGGTCTCAGTAAGAATAATGCAGGAAAAGGGTGTCTTTAGTGACTCAAGGAGTGCCAGGAGGTCATCATAGTGTTTGCTTAAGGACCTGATGTTGTAGTTAAGAACTGATAGACTTTGAGCAGTGTTCAGGATAGTGCTGGCTTGTGATGCTGTGTAATAAAGGCAGTTACTTTCCAGTAAGTTTTGATTGTGTTAGATTATGGAGGTTTAGATAAGGGTCAGTGTGATCATTCATCTTTTAGGTTTAAATAGTGGTTGTTTATATCCTGTATTATGTGGTGTCCCATAGCTTGGTTGGCAATGCTTTTAGTATGTAAATTGAATAGTGTGAGAAACAGTTAAGATAGAGGATATTTTTATTTACAAAGCCTGTACTTGATTTGTACAACATAATGGAAATTACTATTGACAGGTGAATGAGTGGTGCAGCCGGATACGGAAGGAAGGTTATGGCTTGGACCGGCAGATTAGAGGTGAGACTAAAATTTTGATTGAAATAATTGCATTTTGATATATTTTATGAAAGCCTTGTGGTTATTATTTACACTAGAAGTGCTACATAATGTATGATATCCCAGGTTTTGCTTTTCTTTTTCAAACACTAGCATACATATATGCCATTTTGAACCTTTTGCATTGGGAGAATTTTAAAAACATGATTTTTTTTACTCATGATATTAAAATTAAGATATTTAGGAAACTTTTCAACTATACAGAGACCCCCCATAATTACAGTAAAAAAAAAAAGTTGAGTGTAATATATACAGTAATCCTGGATTGAAATCCCACAGCAAAAATACACTTCAGTGTTAATTATTATTTTTTTTTAAGTAGCTTATGTGGAAGCTTATACAGTCCATCATGAGTTAAGAGCACAATGCAGACTTGAAAACATCTTTTTAATTCCTGCTCATATACTACAATATCTCTTGATAGGTGGCATCTCCAAGGAGAGAAAAGTATCCCAGTCCATGGTCTTGATATGATGACTGTTTCTCTTCCTGCTTTACACTGGTCTCCTTCTAACCACACTTGTTGTATGATAGAGGATACCCAGCAATCACTGTTGTGAATTTTAATTATATTACCCATTTACAGCCATTCAGCGTGAAGAAGAAAAGGTGAAGCGTTCACTGAAGGAAGCAGCTAAAAAGGGTGACCAGGATGTGTGCCGGGTCCTTGCTAAGGAAATAGTTCAGTCACGAAAGGCCATTTCTCGGATTTACACCAGCAAAGCACACCTCAACTCTGTGCAGTCACAGATGAAAGCACAGTTAGGTAATTACTATAATTAAATCCATACTTAAACTAGCTATGAAAACATTGAGGCACCAAAGACTCAAGGATATTAACAAAGGGGATATAAATAATGTCTTGAGGATGTCTCTCCAAGAGAGAACCCGCAATAATGGATTCAAATTGGACAAGTTTAGATCTCGAAAGGATGTAGGCAAGTATTGGCTTGGAAATAGGGTAGTTGATGAGTGGAACAGTCGGGTAGTTTCAAATTTAGGCTGGATAAATACATGAGCGATAGGGGTTGGATTTGAGTGGGACTTGCATAATGGGTAAACCAGGAAAAGTGTACGGTAGGGTTATAATTGAAAGAATTAGAGGTAAGACAGAATGTAGGATAGCGGATGAGCAAGGAGGTTTCAGAGTGGGTAGGGGATGTGTAGATCAAGTGTTTACATTGAAGCATATATGTGAACAGTATTTAGATAAAGGTAGGGAAGTTTTTATTGCATTTATGGATTTAGAAAAGGCATATGATAAGAGTGGATAGAGGAGCAATGTGGCAGATGTTGCAAGTGTATGGAATAGGTGGTAAGTTATTAAATGCTGTAAAGCGTTTTTATGAGGATAGTGAGGCTCAGGTTAGGGTGTGTAGAAGAGAAGGAAACTACTTCCCGGTAAAAGTAGGTCTTAGACAGGGATGTGTAATGTCACCATGGTTGTTTAATATATTTATAGATGGGGTTGTAAAGGAAGTAAATGCTAGGGTGTTCGGGAGAGGGGTGGGATTAAATTTTGGGGAATCAAATTCAAAATGGGAATTGACACAGTTACTTTTTGCTGATGATACTGTGCTTATGGGAGATTCTAAAGAAAAATTGCAAAGGTTAGTGGATGAATTTGGGAATGTGTGTAAAGGTAGAAAGTTGAAAGTGAACATAGAAAAGAGTAAGGTGATGAGGGTATCAAATGATTTAGATAAAGAAAAATTGGATATCAAATTGGGGAGGAGGAGTATGGAAGAAGTGAATGTTTTCAGATACTTGGGAGTTGACGTGTCGGCGGATGGATTTATGAAGGATGAGGTTAATCATAGAATTGATGAGGGAAAAAAGGTGAGTGGTGTGTTGAGGTGTATGTGGAGTCAAAAAAACGTTATCTATGGAGGCAAAGCAGGGAATGTATGAAAGTATAGTAGTACCAACACTCTTATATGGGTGTGAAGCTTAGGTGGTAATGCAGCAGCGAGGAAAACGGTTGGAGGCAGTGGAGATGTCCTGTTTAAGGGCAGTGTGTGGTGTAAATATTATGCAGAGAATTCGGAGTGTGGAAATTAGGAAAAGGTTTGGGGGAGTTAAAAAAAGTATTAGTCAGAGGGCAGAAGAGGGGTTGCTGAGGTGGTTTGGTCATTTAGAGAGAATGGATCAAAGTAGAATGACATGGAAAGCATATAAATCTATAGGGGAAGGAAGGCGGGGTGGGGGTCGCCCTCGAAAGGGTTGGAGAGAGGGGGTAAATGAGGTTTTGTGGGCAAGGGCTTGGATTCCAGCAAGCGTGCGTGAGCGTGTTAGATAGGAGTGAATGGAGACGAATGGTACTTGGGACCTGACGATTCTGTTGAGTGTGAGCAGGGTAATATTTAGTGAAGGGATTCGGGAGAAACTGGTTATTTTCATATAGTCGGACTTGAGTCCTGGAAATGGGAAGTACAATGCCTGCACTTTAAAGGAGGGGTTTGGGATATTGGCAGTTTGGAGGGATATGTTGTGTACCTTTATATGTGTGTGCTTCTAAACTGTTGTATTCTGAGCACCTCTGCAAAAACAGTGATAATGTGTGAGTGTGGTGAAAGTGTTGAATGATGATGAAAGTATTTTCTTTTTGGGGATTTTCTTTCTTTTTTGGGTCACCCTGTCTCGGTGGGAGACGGCCGACTTGTTGAAAAAAAAAAAAAAAAATCATCAAACTGATTTCTTGGGTAGCATTGCAAATTGGGTTGGGCAAATATTTTGTTAATGGGAAGGATTGTAAAGAACCTGCCTAGTATGGGCCAACAGGCCTGCTGCAGTGTTCCTCTTTTCTTATGTTCTTATATCTAAAATATCTAATTGTTTTACTTAGAATAAAATAGGTAGTAGGTTGGTAGACAGCAACCACCCAGGGAAGTACTACCGTCCTGCCAGATGACTGTGAAACAAAAACCTGTAACTGTTTTGCATGATGGTAGGATTGCTGGTTTCTTTTTCTGTCTCATAAACACGCTAAGATAACAGGGATATCTTGCTACTCCTACTTACACTTTGGTCACACTTCACAGACACGCACATGCATATATATATATACATACATCTAGGTTTTTCTCTTTTTTCTAAATAGCTCTTGTTCTTTTTTATTTCTTCTATTGTCCATGGGGAAGTGGAAAAGAATCTTTCCTCCGTAAGCCATGCGTGTCGTATGAGGCGACTAAAATGCCGGGAGCAATGGGCTAGTAACCCCTTCTCCTGTATACAATTACTAAAAAAGAGAAGAAGAAAAACTTTATAAAACTGGGTTGCTTAAATGTGCGTGGATGTAGTGCGGATGACAAGAAACAGATGATTGCTGATGTTATGAATGAAAAGAAGTTGGATGTCCTGGCCTAAGCGAAACAAAGCTGAAGGGGGTAGGAGATTTTTCAGTGGGGGAAATAAATGGGATTAAATCTGGAGTATCTGAGAGAGTTAGAGCAAAGGAAGGGGTAGCAGTAATGTTAAATGATCAGTTATGGAAGGAGAAAAGAGAATATGAATGTGTAAATTCAAGAATTATGTGGATTAAAGTAAAGGTTGGATGCGAGAAGTGGGTCATAATAAGCGTGTATGCACCTGGAGAAGAGAGGAATGCAGAGGAGAGAGAGAGATTTTGGGAGATGTTAAGTGAATGTATAGGAGCCTTTGAACCAAGTGAGAGAGTAATTGTGGTAGGGGACTTGAATGCTAAAGTAGGAGAAACTTTTAGAGAGGGTGTGGTAGGTAAGTTTGGGGTGCCAGGTGTAAATGATAATGGGAGCCCTTTGATTGAACTTTGTATAGAAAGGGGTTTAGTTATAGGTAATACATATTTTAAGAAAAAGAGGATAAATAAGTATACACGATATGATGTAGGGCGAAATGACAGTAGTTTGTTGGATTATGTATTGTAGATAAAAGACTGTTGAGTAGACTTCAGGATGTACATGTTTATAGAGGGGCCACAGATATATCAGATCACTTTCTAGTTGTAGCTATACTGAGAGTAAAAGGTAGATGGGATACAAGGAGAATAGAAGCATCAGGGAAGAGAGAGGTGAAGGTTTATAAACTAAAAGAGAAGGCAGTTAGGGTAAGATATAAACAGCTATTGGAGGATAGATGGGCTAATGAGAGCATAGGCAATGGGGTCGAAGAGGTATGGGGTAGGTTTAAAAATGTAGTGTTGGAGTGTTCAGCAGAAGTTTGTGGTTACAGGAAAGTGGGTGCAGGAGGGAAGAGGAGCGATTGGTGGAATGATGATGTAAAGAGAGTAGTAAGGGAGAAAAAGTTAGCATATGAGAAGTTTTTACAAAGTAGAAGTGATGCAAGGAGGGAAGAGTATATGGAGAAAAAGAGAGAAGTTAAGAGAGTGGTGAAGCAATGTAAAAAGAGAGCAAATGAGAGAGTGGGTGAGATGTTATCAACAAATTTTGTTGAAAATAAGAAAAAGTTTTGGAGTGAGATTAACAAGTTAAGAAACCCTAGAGAACAAATGGATTTGTCAGTTAAAAATAGGAGAGGAGAGTTATTAAATGGAGAGTTAGAGGTATTGGGAAGATGGAAGGAATATTTTGAGGAATTGTTAAATGTTGATGAAGATAGGGAAGCTGTGATTTCGTGTATAGGGCAAGGAGGAATAACATCTTGTAGGAGTGAGGAAGAGCCAGTTGTGAGTGTGGGGGAAGTTCGTGAGGCAGTAGGTAAAATGAAAGGGGGTAAGGCAGCCGGGATTGATGGGATAAAGATAGAAATGTTAAAAGCAGGTGGGGATATAGTTTTGGAGTGGTTGGTGCAATTATTTAATAAATGTATGGAAGAGGGTAAGGTACCTAGGGATTGGCAGAGAGCATGCATAGTTCCTTTGTATAAAGGCAAAGGGGATAAAAGAGAGTGCAAAAATTATAGGGGGATAAGTCTGTTGAGTGTACCTGGTAAAGTGTATGGTAGAGTTATAATTGAAAGAATTAAGAGTAAGACGGAGAATAGGATAGCAGATGAACAAGGAGGCTTTAGGAAAGGTAGGGGGTGTGTGGACCAGGTGTTTACAGTGAAACATATAAGTGAACAGTATTTAGATAAGGCTAAAGAGGTCTTTGTGGCATTTATGGATTTGGAAAAGGCGTATGACAGGGTGGATAGGGGGGCAATGTGGCAGATGTTGCAAGTGTATGGTGTAGGAGGTAGGTTACTGAAAGCAGTGAAGAGTTTTTACGAGGATAGTGAGGCTCAAGTTAGAGTATGTAGGAAAGAGGGAAATTTTTTCCCAGTAAAAGTAGGCCTTAGACAAGGATGTGTGATGTCACCGTGGTTGTTTAATATATTTATAGATGGGGTTGTAAGAGAAGTAAATGCGAGGGTCTTGGCAAGAGGCGTGGAGTTAAAAGATAAAGAATCACACACAAAGTGGGAGTTGTCACAGCTGCTCTTTGCTGATGACACTGTGCTCTTGGGAGATTCTGAAGAGAAGTTGCAGAGATTGGTGGATGAATTTGGTAGGGTGTGCAAAAGAAGAAAATTAAAGGTGAATACAGGAAAGAGTAAGGTTATGAGGATAACAAAAAGATTAGGTGATGAAAGATTGAATATCAGATTGGAGGGAGAGAGTATGGAGGAGGTGAACGTATTCAGATATTTGGGAGTGGACGTGTCAGCGGATGGGTCTATGAAAGATGAGGTGAATCATAGAATTGATGAGGGAAAAAGAGTGAGTGGTGCACTTAGGAGTCTGTGGAGACAAAGAACTTTGTCCTTGGAGGCAAAGAGGGGAATGTATGAGAGTATAGTTTTACCAACGCTCTTATATGGGTGTGAAGCGTGGGTGATGAATGTTGCAGCGAGGAGAAGGCTGGAGGCAGTGGAGATGTCATGTCTGAGGGCAATGTGTGGTGTGAATATAATGCAGAGAATTCGTAGTTTGGAAGTTAGGAGGAGGTGCGGGATTACCAAAACTGTTGTCCAGAGGGCTGAGGAAGGGTTGTTGAGGTGGTTCGGACATGTAGAGAGAATGGAGCGAAACAGAATGACTTCAAGAGTGTATCAGTCTGTAGTGGAAGGAAGGCGGGGTAGGGGTCGGCCTAGGAAGGGTTGGAGGGAGGGGGTATAAGGAGGTTTTGTGTGCGAGGGGCTTGGACTTCCAGCAGGCATGCGTGAGCGTGTTTGATAGGAGTGAATGGAGACAAATGGTTTTTAATACTTGACGTGCTGTTGGAGTGTGAGCAAAGTAACATTTATGAAGGGATTCAGGGAAACCGGCAGGCCGGACTTGAGTCCTGGAGATGGGAAGTACAGTGCCTGCACTCTGAAGGAGGGGTGTTAATGTTGCAGTTTAAAAACTGTAGTGTAAAGCACCCTTCTGGCAAGACAGTGATGGAGTGAATGATGGTGAAAGTTTTTCTTTTTCGGGCCACCCTGCCTTGGTGGGAATCGGCCGGTGTGATAATAAAAAAAAAAAAAAAAATTGTGGTCAAAATGCTGTGAATGGAAAAACTGCATGAGTTTACCGAGTTCACTCAATATTTACTTGCATGCCACAGCTACACTTCGTGTTGCTGGTTCTCTGCAGCAGTCCACAGTAGTCATGAAGGCCATGCAAGAGTTAGTCAAGTTGCCTGAAATTAGCAAAACTATGCAGGATCTAAGCAAGGAAATGATGAGAGCTGGCATCATTGAGGAGATGCTTGAGGACACCATGGAGGGGTTGGAACCTGAGGAGCTGGAGGAAGAGGCTCAGAAAGAGGTGGACAAGGTAAGAGATAACTGATGAGGTAAGAGGATATTAATATAATAAAAGGACATTGACCAGTTATGGCAGAATTTTGCTAAGTAGAAGGAAAGCTGTGTAGGAGAAACAAAGTTGACAAGATAAAGTGGAAATATCAAGGTGCATAAGTGTTTTATCATTAACCTTTAACTGTGGCATACCCTAAAATTAAATTTCCTGTGTGTGTGTGTGGCAAGAGTAATAAAAAAATATTTTTCTTACAGATTGAAAGAGCATATTTTTATGAATCGAATAAAGCTAAAATGAGTGGAATCTGATAAAAATCTAAAACATTTGGTATGTTAAAGTTGGTGAAAATATTATCACTCGTGTGCAGTAGTGGCATAAATGCGCCAACTATATTTACATTTTATCTTTAACACTGTGTACATTAGTTTCTAATGATATTAGACATGTTTCATGGTGGATTAGTACTTCATACAGGGGACAATGCTTAGCACACACATGAGCACGCGCACACACACACACACACACACACACACACACACCACACACACACACACACACACACACACACACACACACACACACACACACACACACACACACACACACACACGAGCACACACACACACGAGCGCGCACACACACACAAGCGCACACACACATACATACATACATACATACATACATATATACATACATATATACATACATATTGCTCTACTTGGAATATACAGTATAAATTGATGCAAATAATTATGTCTTTTTATTCCTTATTTTTATGGCTTCAGTCTTCTAACACTATGTACTAGAAGTACCTATGACATTACAATTGTTTTAAGGAATAATATTCCTCTAAACATGAAAATAAGTCAAATTGTTTGACTATGTTGAATTATCCTAGGTTAACTTTAACACACCGGCCATCTTCCACCGAGGCAGGGTGACCTGAAAAAGAAGAAACACTTTCAACATCATTCACTCCATCACTGTCTTGCCAGAGATGCACCAAAATTACAGCGTATATGCCCCTCCAAGCTGCAATATCCCCATCCCACCTTCAAAGTACAGGCATTGTACTTCTCACCCCTAGGACTCAAGTCTGGCTAACCAGTTTCTCTAATCCTTTCATAAACATTACCTTACACTCCAACAGCACATCAAGTCATAAAAACCACTTGCTTTCACTCCTATCTAACACATTCTCACATACCTAGTGGATGTCCATGCCCCACACATACAAAACCTTCTTGGTTATAAAAATACAGTGCAATTTCTGTGTCCATAACAACTGTGCACCTTCATCATCACTGGAAAACATGTAATTACAAGGAAGTCTTATGATATCACAATTGTTTCAAGGTGTAATGCTTGCTGAAACATGGAAAAAGCACATTGTTGACTATATTGGGTTATCCTAGGTCAAATCTATATAGTGTGCTTTTTGGCCAAAGTCGACTTTTTATCATGCAATTGTAATAAATTTGGAATGAATAAGTCATCATCCTGTAAGTTCCACACCCTATTTGCTGGTAGGGAAGCTAGTGATGAACAACAGGTCCAGGTCCTGATTTTGTTGTTGACTTATACACAAATAATCCGCACATAGAAGAGAGGAGCTTATGACGATGTTTCGGTCCGACTTGGAAAATTTACAAAGTCCAAGTCGGACCGAAACGTTGTCATAAACTCCTCTCTTCTATGTGTGGGTTATTTATGTATCGTTCCAGTCACGATATTGTGCCTTTTTTTGTTATTTGTTGACTTATACTAGTGAGGCAGTGTTACCCCATGATGCACTGCTTGGACCTGCCTGGCCTTAGATTTTTTTTCAAAGGCAGGAATTGGTTGTAGTAGAGCCAAACAGTTGTGCTGAGATCATAAATGTTGCCAGGGGTCATTTTGTGAAATTGTGGGTAATAGTACATTGGACACACAGTCATCACTTTCGTATTAGTATAGTACGTTGGACACAGTTTAAAATGTGAATAGGTTACTTAGGAAAGGTAATATTGTACTGTATTAGGAAGCATTAAAGGGTAACTCAGTTTTAAATGGGTACAGTAAAACATTGTAAATTTGGATTGATTGGGTGTGGGAGGCATTGTAAAGCTAAGGGTCCATCCCTCCATTGTGTCTGTAGTATTACATGTAAATTTTTATTCCCAATTCCTTTAAATCTTATTATCATATTTGGTGAGCATTGAACAGTTGTACTGTACTAATTTTATTCAATTATGTATTCAGACTATTATATGTCTTGGGTTTTTAGTATTAAAGAAACTCCAAATACATTAATTGAAATTTATCTTTTTATTCAAAAGGAAATACATTATAAAAAAATAAGTGATTTTCCAAATTGATATATAATTTTTTAATTCAGAGTTTTGAAGATCATTTCTAAATTCAGGATTTTGGAATATGTTCTAAGATTCTGACCATTCTTAAATACATAAATTTTTCTAATGAAAATTATGATATTTTGCTCTTGTTCAGAAAATTTCAGTATTATTAAATCATTTCTGAATTAAAAAAAAAATAATGATTTCCAAATTTGGCAGTATTGCACTTTACTATAATTTTTGTGCTGATTATGATACTGTGTCTTCTTGTGCCCTGTAACTTGAATGCCATGTTTTTATGTTCTGTTTCTGGAAATGGCAGCAATGTGCAGAATTTTATTGACCATGGAGGATAATTCAACCTTTGATTTTTATCTACAGTTTAATGGATTTTGACCAACACTGGCAGTTCATATACAGTATTGTACAGCATGATACTGTATCTATCTATATTAGAATTTATGAAATACAGTTTTGCTCCGGATTTGTGTTACTAACAGCATTCTCATAATAGGTGTTGTGGGAGATCACTGCTGGGCAGCTGGGCATGGCACCAGCCATGGTACATGATGCACTGCCTGCTGAACCTGAAGGGGCAGCCGCCCTTGAACCAGAGGAGGAACCCGAGGAAGATATAGAAGAGATGAGAAATCGTCTTGAAGCTCTCCGCAGCTGAGCAAGTGCAGGAGTGACCTGGTGAATACTTGTGCTTATTCTATTATGTCAAGGATTATTTCATCCTTGAGGCAAATGGATATATGGTATTTTAAAAATAACATTACTTAATGGATACTGTATCTTGATTTCAGTTGTAAACATACTGGTAGACTATTTTAGATATTTAAGGACAAACTTGCTATTTGAGCAGGCAAAATATATTTGTAATTAATGCAGAAAATTTGAGTTTTTGGCTAGAAAAATATACTCTACATGCATCAAGGGTAATGAACATTATTAGCAGTGCTCACATTCATCATATTTACATGGTAATGTATACATAAAGTGTAACTTTATTGTTCACCAATAGTCTGGCTTTGAATAGTGTTTGATATACAGTATATATTAAACTGAGATCTATGATCTGTCTAAATTTGTGCCAAAATAATGACTGTATTTGGGTTTTATCTAAAATAATGATTTTACTATATTTAATGCTATTATTATTATTATTAGATAGTGTTGAGGTATTTGGAGAAAAAAAAAAGTTTATGGTGCATTTGAAGGCAAAAAGAGAAATGTAGCAGAGTATAGTGATATCAGCTCTTTTGTATGGGTGTAAAGCATTGGCTTTAAGCATTACAGCGAGGAGGAGGCTGCAGGCAGTGGAGATGTCATGTTCGAGAACATTGGTACGAATATTATGCAAAGAATTCAAAGTGTATAAATTAGAAGATAGTGTGGTGTTGCAAAAGGTATAATTTAGAGGAGAGGAGGGCTTTTGGAAATGGTTTGGGCATTTAAAGTTGATGGAGCAGAACAGGAATACCAAGAGGGTATATGAAGGAGGGTGGGATAGGGGGTTGTACCAGGAAGGGTTGGAGGGAGGGTATGAAGGTTTTAAGTGGTAAGGACTTGAGTGTCAAGCAAGCATGCAAATGTGTTAGATTGGAGTGAGTGAAGACAAATAGTTTTAGAGATTTGACATGCTATTGGGGGTGTGAGTAAAGCAACATTTATGAAGGGATTCAAGGAAACCTGTTAACTGGACTTACATCTTGCACTCTGAAGAAGGGGTGGGGCTCTTACATTTCGTAGGATCATTCGAATTGTGATATCTGCACACACAGCTGCTGAGTAACTGTTCTTGAATAATACATTTTTGGATCATCCTATCATGTAAAGAGGTGGTAACAGATTATTCATTTGCATAAATTTACTAAATAATCCATACAGGTTTAACGCTTTACGTGTTTATGATGATATTTTGTATAAGCTTGAAATTTAAAGCACTAATTTATCTTGGGAATTCAGGGTTATTATAATTGGGCAGTGTAGAACTCTACTAGCTGGTTTTACAACTATTTTTAGGGGGCCTTCTCATCCTCCTTGACTAACACGATACAGACACAGCTGCAACAGATTTATTGCACACTTTCTTAAAGCCCACACTATGTACTAATTTTTTGGTATACAGGATGCCCCATAATTTTTTTAGATTCATTCTTTTATTATGTCATGCAGTCTCAGTCAGTTTTCAACAAGTGTCATTTTGCCATAAAATATGAAGGTGGTCTTATGAATGTTTTTCATAACTTTTCAGAAGAAAAGACCATACGATTGCCACTCTGGATAAAATTTTCCTTGAAAACATTATTAGTCATAAAAGTTTTTTTTTTTAAAACACATCAGCTGTTTCCCACTGAGGCAAGGTGGTCTGAAAAAGAAGAAACACTTTCATCGTCACTCACTGCATCACTGTCTTGCCAGATGAGTGCCGATACTACAGTTCAGAAATAAAAAAAAAAAGCACAATACCGTGACTGGAACGATACACAAATAACCCGCGCATAGAAGGGAGGAGCTTAGGACGACGTTTCGGTCCGACTTGGACCATTTACAAAGTCACACTAACGAAAAGGAGGGCAGGATGGGTATATATAGGCAGGAGGTGGTGGTAGTAGTAGTGGTAGTAGTGGATGTGGTAGTAGTAGTGGGGAGGTAGTAAGAGTAGGATTTACCAGTCAAATACTGAGAAAGAGGAGCACTGCAAGGGAGCTAGATGCCCACAGAGGGTAAGAGCAAGAACACCGAGGGGGGGGGGAGGAAACAAACAAATAAATAATAAAGAAGGAACAAATACAAAGGGCAAAAGATAGACAACCCAAAGGAGAAAAAGGAAAGATGAAAGGGGAAGAGGGAGAAGAAGAAAAAAAAAAGAAAAAAGGAAGAATCAGGTTTGGTCACTACTACTTACTTCCACCTCCACTACTACTACTACTACTACTACTACCACTACCCCTACCCCTACCACTACCACTACCCCTACCCCTACCACTACCACTTCCTGCCTATATATACCCATCCTGCTCTCCTTTTTGTTAGTGTGACTTTGTAAATGGTCCAAGTCGGACCAAAATGTCGCCATAAGCTGCAACATAGCTCCACTCCTCCTTCAGAGTGCTTGCCACCTCCAGAACTCGAGTCCGACTAACCGATATCCCCGATTCCCTTCATGAATGTTACCTTTTTCACACTCCAACAGCATGTCAAGTAAAAAAAAACATTTGCCTCCACTCCTATAAAGTAAAAATAATTTTGTTACAATTATTGACATGAAATTATATTTTTTTTTTTTCAACAAGTCGGCCGTCTCCCACCGAGGCAGGGTGACCCAAAAAAGAAAGAAAATCCCCAAAAATAAAATGCTTTCATCATCATTCAACACTTTCACCACACTCACACATTATCACTGTTTTTGCAGAGGTGCTCAGAATACAACAGTTCAGAAGCATACACATATAAAGATACACAACATATCCCTCCAAACTGCCAATATCCCAAACCCCTCCTTTAAAGTGCAGGCATTGTACTTCCCATTTCCAGGACTCAAGTCCGACTATGTGAAAATAACCGGTTTCCCTGAATCCCTTCACTAAATATTACCCTGCTCACACTCCAACAGATCGTCAGGTCCCAAGTACCATTCGTCTCCGTTCACTCCTATCTAACACACTCACGCACGCTTGCTGGAAGTCCAAGCCCCTCGCCCACAAAACCTCCTTTACCCCCTCTCTCCAACCCTTTCGAGGATGACCCCTACCTCGCCTTCCTTCCCCTATAGATTTATATGCTTTCCATGTCATTCTACTTTGATCCATTCTCTCTAAATGACCAAACCACCTCAACAACCCCTCTTCTGCCCTCTGACTAATACTTTTATTAACTCCACATCTTTTCCTAATTTCCACACTCCGAATTTTCTGCATAGTATTTACACCACACATTGCCCTTAGACAGGACATCTATACTGCCTCCAACCGTCTCCTCGCTGCTGCATTTACCACCCAAGTTTCACACCCATATGTCCTTGTGGCTTAGCGCTTCTTTTTGATTATAATAATAATAATTCACACCCATATAAGAGTGTTGGTACTACTATACTTTCATACATTCCCTTCTTTGCCTCCATAGATAATGTTTTTTGACTCCACATATACCTCAACACACCACTCACCTTTTTTTTGTCATCAATTCTATGATTAACCTCATGCTTCATAAATCCATCTGCCGACACGTCAACTCCCAAGTATCTGAAAACATTCACTTCTTCCATACTACTCCTCCCCAATTTGATATCCAATTTTTCTCTATCTAAATCATTTGATACCCTCATCACCTTACTCTTTTTCTATGTTTACTTTCAACTTTCTACCTTTACACACATTCTCAAACTCATCCACTAACCTTTGCAATTTTTCTTTAGAATCTCCCATAAGCACAGTATCATCAGCAAAAAGTAACTGTGTCAATTTCCATTTTTTTTTTATTTTTTTTTTTTTTTTGCTCCTATCTAACACGCTCATGCACACTTGCTGGACGTCCAAGCCCCTTGCACACAAAACTTCCTTTACCTCCTCCCTCCATCCATTCCTAGGCTGACCCCTACCCCACCTTCCGTTCACTACAGATTTAAACACTCTCCAAGTCATTCTATTTTGTTCCATCCTCTCTACATGTCCAAACCATCTCAATAACCCCTCCTCAGCTCTCTGGATAATAATTTTGGTAATCCTGCACCTCCTCCTAATATCCAAACTACGGATTCTCTGCATTATATTCACACCACACATTGCTCTCAGACATGACATCTCCACTGCTTCCAGCCTTCTCCTTGTTGCAACATTCACCACCCATACAAGAGCATTGGTATAACTGTACTCTCATACATTCCCCTCTTTGCTTTCATGGATAAAGTTCTTTGTCTCCAGAGACTCCTCAGTGCACCACTTGCCTTATTTCCTTCATCAATTCTATGATTCACCTCATCTTTCATAGACTCATCTGCTGACACATCCACTCCCAAATATCTGAATACATTTACCTCCTCCATACTCTCTCCCTCCAATCTGATGTTTAATCTTCCATTATCTATTTTTATCCTCATCACCTTACTCTTTCATATATTCACTTTTTATTTCCTTCTTTTGCATACCATAACAAATTCATCAACCAACCTCTGCAACTTCTCTTCAGAATCTCCCAAAAGCACAGTGTCATCAGCAAAGAGCAACTGTGACAACTCCCACTTTGTGTTAGATTCTTTATCTTTTAACCCCACACCTCTTGCCAACACCCAATCATTCACTTCTCTTACAACTCCATCTATAAATATATTGAACAACCATGATGACATCACACATCCCTGTCTAAGGACTATACATGTACATTCTTCTTTCAACAAACTGGCTGTATCTCACCGAGGCAGGATGGCCCAAAAAGAAAAACAAAAGTTTCTCTTTTTTAAGTTTAGTAATTTATACAGGAGAAGGGGTTACTAGCCCCTTGCTCCCGGTATTTTAGTCGCCTCTTACAACACGCATGGCTTACGGAGGAAGAATTCTGTCCCACTCCCCCATGGAGGTAAGAGGAAATAAACAAGAACAAGAACTAGAAAGAAAATAGCAGAAAACCCAGAGGGGTGTGTGTATATATATGCTTGTACATGTATGTGTAGTGTGACCTAAGTGTAAGTAGAAGTAACAAGACGTACCTGAAATCTTGCATGTTTATGAGACAGAAAAAAGGACACCAGCAATCCTACCATCATGTAAAACAATTACAGGCTTTCGTTTTACACTCACTTGGCAGGACGGTAGTACCTCCCTGGGCGGTTGCTGTCTACCAACCTACTACCTAGAATGAAATTATATGTACCTCAATAACTCATATTGAGGCTAAAAATATTGCTTAAATCTCTCTTCCAAAATGTATAATACTGTATTTTCTATGTGTATATATTCTATGCATTTTCTAAAACAGCTCCTTTTTTACATATTTTATCAGGTTCATCTGTGACAGTATTGTTATCTGCAAAATTGAAGCACAGGAAAAACAGAAACAAAGCAACATTCCCTCAGAGCATAAATTAACTTTATATTTCTCTAATACGGTATTACCTACATGTATTCTAAATTTACGAACATTATATCACTTACTGTACCTGTACAGTATGTTACAGTTACTGTATCTTACATAATTTATGGTGTAGACAATGGGTAGCATTGATAGATGTGCAAGGCTAGGAACACTGCACCCTCTGGTCATCAGATAGGATGACCTACTGGGGTCCCTCATCTCTCTTGGTGAGTAAGCACAGTCTTGTAAAAATGGTAGATAAAAGCTTATTCTAGGTGGCTGTTAAAATGCAGTAAGTTTACATCTCACAGTTGCACTAAAATTTTACGTAGATAGTCGGAAGAAATTTTCCATCACATAAATGTGCTTTTTCACTCTGAAAGGGTTAATTTGGTTAATTTTTTTATATACAGTGGACCCCCGCATAGCGAACGCCTTGCATAGCGAACATTCCGCATAGCGAACGCTTTGATCGCTAAAATTTTGCCCCGCATAGTAGACAAAAACCCGCTCAGCGAACTTCGTCCGAGACGCGTCCAATGTGCGGCCTCAGCCAGCCTCACATGTGCCGCCTGTCCCATTGTTTACCAGCTAGCCTCCGCGGTAACATTCAAGCATACACTCGGAATATTTCGTATTATTACAGTGTTTTCGGTTCTGTTTGTTGAAAATAAGTGACCATGGGCCCCAAGAAAGCTTCTAGTGCCAACCCTGTGGTAAAAAGGGTGAGAATTAGTATGGAAATTAAGAAAGATTTTGAAGGGTTTGGGGCTAACCCTGAGAAGCCTATGCCAGTTGTGGAATCCATTGTGCCTATTTCAAAAATTAAGGAAATGTGTGCACAGTGGGTTGAACTGCAAACCTTTATGGATGAAAATCACCCTGACACAGCTGTTGCAAGGCGTGCTGGTGACTATTTCAATGACAATGTTATGGCCCATTTTAGACAAATCGTAAAGGAACGGGAGGTACAGAGCTCTATGGACAGAAAGAAGTCCAGTGACTCTGAAGCTGGTCCTAGTGGCATTAAAAGAAGAAGGGAAGTAACCCCGGAAAAGGACTTGCCTCCTCAAGTGTTAATGGAAGGGGATTCCCCTTCTAAACACTAACACTCTCTCTCCCCTCCTCCCATCCCATCAATCATCACCAGATCTTCAATAAAAGTAAGTGTCATGTAATTGTGCATGCCTTTTTCAGTTTGTGTGTACTAAAATTAACATTTTTTTGTGGTAAAAAAATTTTTTTTTCATACTTTTGGGTGTCTTGCACGGATTAATTTTATTTCCACTATTTCTTATGGGGAAAATTAATTCGCATAGCGAACATTTCGCATAACGACCAGCCTTCTTGCACGGATTAAGTTCGCTATGCGGGGGTCCACTGTATTGTTTTAGCATGTTATTATTAATATACATTCTATGAAGAAAAAAAAAAGCCTTATTTCAAAGAATTTTAGATTTTTAATATGGGGTGGATTTCTTTGTTAATTTCTTCAATTCAGTTTTACAGTTTAACTGCCAAAATAATGTTAAACTTGTGTTTTTATGTGAGTTGTTAGTTTTTGCTTTAATTTCTTGGATGGTTCAAAAGAAAATTAAAGGCATGTTGTGCATATGATTCATAAGCTTTTAATGTATATTGTCATAGATGAAGCTGATAAACTTTAAATAAGGTTATGTTATACATGCAGCACTATATAATGTACATATAAGAAATTAGCATTGAAAATGTTAATGACATTGTAAATATATTTGACATTTATGACTATACAAAAAACTCAAAATTCAAAAATAAGGATAATATACTGCAAAATATGCATTGGGATGATAATAATAATGTTGCATACAATATGTAAGGAAAAAAAATATTGTAGGACTGTATGTTGTATAAATAAATTGTGTTGATTAAAATTAAACTACAGGTGTTTTACTTGTACAATAAATTGACACACTACTCATAATTGTAGTACAGCATTGAAAGTACACATACTATGAGGAAAGATATATTATTGGAATGTATGTTATAAACTTAAATTTAGTTCAGTGTATTTGAATGTGTTTATTATTATACAGCTTTCAGTTTCTCTTGGAAGTCTATTCATATTCTGGGCCTCTTCACTCACTTAGTTGCTGAACATGTTCAGTCGTACACGTTGAATATCAGATATAGTGTTCATTTCTTGTGTGATGCCTGTGGGTTCTGTTACAGTTAAAGTTAAGTCTTAGGTCTTGTGTTTGCATTATAGCTCAGTGTTTTGATGATGTATAGGGTAAAGTAGAAAGCGTGTGTGGCATGTATATTTCGTAAGTTTAGAGATTTGACTAAGGACAGAACTATTTAAAAGTTATAATCTGACATGATTCTGATGTTGATTTTTGCTGTGTAATGATAAAAATGAGGCCGTTTACTGATTATTCCCATTCATAGATACCATATGCAAGATATGTATAGCTAAGTGTGATGTGTAGAGTGAGCAGTATTGTGTGGGGTAAATAGTAGTGAAGGTTTTAAAGTATATCATCTGTGTTTGATACAATACTTTCTTTGATATGCTGTCTATTTGCAATATTAGAAATTTATTTTCTATAGTTTCTTTCTCTTTGGGTGTGATTTAGTCGTGATTTATTTAGTTGGTCTGTTTTCATGTACTGTAGTACTGTTTGTAATAGATTTTTATCTGCCTTAACCTTCTAGCATTCCAAAGCCCTGTATGAAGCCCATATCTAGGGGTGACTGTGGAAGGTTGTATAGCTGAATCAGAGTGCATGAAATTGTTGATACTGCCTCTATCTAATAAGAGAGCTTTTGGTCATTCTCAAGCAACCAGGTAGAGAACCCTAACTTCTTAAGGGGAGTGGGGAGTCGAGACATGAAGCAGTGTGGTTCTAGACTTGGAAGAGGGTATTTCCCAATCGTTCACAATCACTCATAAGTAGGAATAATGACTTAGATGAATTTTGGAAAGTGACCTAACACTTTCAGAGTTACAGTAAATTATAGGAGTGGAAAGGTCTTAGAAAGAGCCAATCTATAACATGCTGGAAGCGCATCCAAATCCCTCCATTTTTCTATGACCGAACACTGTAGGGTTATGTGTGTGTGTTTGTAGTCATCCTAGTGTAGGTATTCTTTAGTTCGCCATTCACTGTGTTGTTTAACGTAGTAGGGTCTGTAATAGAACACAAGTCATGCCGCAACAGTGTGTTAACCAGTTGTTAAATAGTATTTGTTGGTCATTAATATAAAGAAGGAATAGGAGAGGGCCAATGATGCTGCCTTAGGGCAATAATATTGGTAAGAGAAAATGATGATGATGATGTGTTTTTATTGTTGTGTGTTGTCTGTCACTGAGGTAAGATGGGATAAAGCAGTACTGTATGTGTGTGACCAGGTCAAAATTGCTTTAATTTGAGAAGTTTGTGATGTATGCCAGTATACTGTAGCCTACCCAAGGTAACTTTATACAACTTGCATGCACTTTTTTTGTAAATATAATTTATTATTGTCAGCTAGTATAAGCATAGTCAGGTTGGATTTGTATGTAAACAAATGATTTATTCCTTAGGTAAGCCATGTTAAAATAACCTTTCCTTTAAAACTATTTAATTTAAATGAACCTTACACATTACATCATATAAATTCTAGCATTTTCTACACATGTGTGGTTTGTAATTTTATACACAGTACATAAAGGAGTGCAGCATTACTGCACAGCCCATGTTTGTGTTAGTGTGTGCTTGCATGCTCCGACCTCCGTAACACACACTTCAAGCCACCATTAATAGCAATATAACCAGAAAAATACATTTAAATTAAATTTACATAAAGTGAAGCAAGGAGTTATAATTAAATAAAAATGTTGTAAAAATTATCACTTTTGTATTTATTATTTATTGTAAATAAATTTTAGTATATCTTTTTGTTGGGATTTAATTGACATTTTGAACTGATGTTTAATTTTTGTTATTCATACTCCTGTTAATAAAGACAACAGGTCTTATGTACCATAAAGTTGTAATCCATGTTCTGAAAGGCCTTTAGCAGATCAGTGAATAGAATAAAGTAAATATTCAGTCATGATAAGTGCTGTGTAGATTGTCTTAAAATTTTTTGCATCATTTGTGCATTTTTGGGGTCAACATCTGTATTAACAATGAGTATGTTGTTTACTTGATTACCTAAGAATATAGAGTACATAGTTGCTGTATAACATGGGTAGGTTTAGTCACTATCACAGACCACAATGATGGACTGCATGGTACACGATACTGACTTTTTTTGGAGGGGATGGTACGTTATTTGAGTGCTTTGCTGAAAAGTATTTTAATGGTTTGTGATAAATATTACATGTGCAAATTTCTTATATTTGACTGTGGATATCATCTGAACTTTTGAGTGATATTTTTGAGCTTATTTCAAGGGTTTGTTTTATTCTAATAGTTGTTAAGTCTTAATGGCTGTGAAGAAGCTGTTGAGTTCCTTTACAATATAAGTGGCTGAAGTGGAAGTTTATTTTCTTTGAGAAGTATTATTTCCTTGCTCTTTGATGTCCTATTAGATCCTTGAATTTGGGAGAGTAATTTCAATGTGTTAATGTCTTCCTTTTGCACCGTAAAATTTATTGAGTAATGGATCTATTTTATACCGTAATATTAGGGTATAAGTGATTTAAATTATTTTTCTATTATTTTAGAGACTAGGCCTAGCAGTTCTTTTTTTTTAAGTTATATTTTGTGTCAATAGATCTAAGGAGGAGTTTGGAATATTTACTGTTGAGTGTGACACCTAAACTGACGTATATGCACACCTCTGGCAAGACAGGGATGGTGTGAATGATGGTGAAAATGTTTCTTTTCCTGGTCACCTGCCTCAGTGGGAGACAGCCAGTGTGTTAAAAAAAAATCTAGGTAGTGTATTATTCCTATTATGAGCCTTAGGCTGTTTCTTATTTTGATTATGATTTCCTTGGTTATCAAATTAATGTGTGCATTGTAGAGATGTCAATTTTTAAGAGAGCTATTTACTACTATATTGATGTTAATGCATCATAGTGAATGAACACCTGCCAGCAAGAGTTCATCACTTTTTTTGTTAACAGTGTATAATGTATAGTAATAAACTACTAGAAGTTACCTTTAAGAGAGAGATTGTGATGGAGATGAAGGGCTTTTGATCCAAGAAATTGGAGCTTTTCTTCCCTTCATTGAATAAAACCTGATTACTGCTCATTCCTAGTTCAGTACTTTCCTGAACTGCTACATTAACTGTGACATTTTCTTTCTGCTGGTCCGGTGCTCAGCACCTCTGCTTCTCCCTCTCTTCCATCTTGTCACCTCTGTGAAGTGGTGCTTTATACTTTGTGTCTTCTTAGGGACAAAATACTAATAGGGATCACAAATATGGACAATTTTTTTTTTTTACCCTCTGACTCAATCTTAGAATATACACTAGGAGATTATAAAAGACAAGTGATTCTAATCCCAGCTGTCTCAAAAATGACCTGCCATGCTCTACGATGGGGTAAGAGTTGTGTATGTCTATAGTGCTAAACAAGTACATAGTAACCTTATCAGATGCAGAATAAATGCACCTTTCACAGTTTACTGATATGCTCACCATAATTTGTTGGTTAATAATAAGAATCTTTATTTCTACAAGTACACGATACGACTTATACAGATCTAGCTGACATTAATGACGTACTACATAGAAAGCCCCTGGTTATGCAGAGCATTTCAGGCAACTTGGGTTAATTTTGTCCCCAAGATGCAACCCACACCAGTCTACTAACACTGAGGTACCCACGTACTGCTAGGTAAACAGGGACAGCTGGTGTCTTAACCCTTTGGGGGTTTCGGCCGTACTAGTACGGCTTACAACCCAGGGTTTTTGACGTACTAGTACGCCTAAATTCTAGCGCCCTCAGATCTAGTGGGAGAAAGCTGGTAGGCATACATATGAAAGAATGGGTCTATGTGGTCAGTGTGCTCAGTATAAAAAAAAATCCTGCAGCACACAGTGCATAATGAGAAAAAAAAAACTTTGACCGTGTTTTTGGAATAAAACAGCAACATTGCACTGTATTTTTGTATGGTATTTATTGTTGTATTCTAGTTTTCTTTGGTCTCATTTTATAGAATGGAAGACATATTACAGAAATTGAGATGATTTTGACTGGTTTTACAATGAAAAGTACCTTGAAATTGAGCTCAAAGTAGCAGAAATGTTTGATTTTTACCAAAGTTCAAAAGTAAACAAATCATGCCAAGCGTCTAATACACGTCAACTGGTGAGTCTAATATTCTTTCACAAGTGCGCTGATATTATTTATACTATTTCTACACTAATGCAGTAGTCCGCATAACAGTAAATCTTCTATTTTTTGTAAGAATAAAAATTGAAAGTGGAAAGCCAAAGAGATATAAGAGGGGCCTGGGGATGTGACTAACGAACAGAGGAAATGTTATTTTAGTACCAGGAATGTTTTTCTTGTTTATTCTGGACCCTATTTGGAAATTGGCATCTTTTGAAATTTGTGTGAAATTGGCAAAATTGCTAAATTCTGACCACTATTGGATAGTTGAAATCAGTAAATGGGTGGTTTCTTGTACTCATTCAATAGAAAAAATGGAGTTCTAGAGAAATAGTTATGATTTTTGTCGACTAGCACACTGGAATTGGCCGAAAATAGGGCTCAAAGTGGGCAAAATCGCCGATGCATAAACATCGTCAAGACCGCTAACTTCGCGAGAGCATAATTCCGTAAGTTTTCCATCAAATTTCATACTTTTGGTGTCATTATGATCGAGAAAAGATTCTCTGTCTTTTTACAAGAAAAAATAATTTTTTTTTTTTAAATTTGGCCGACCCTGAGAACAAGTCTCGGAGAGGGCCTGTCGACCCTCAAAGGGTTAAGGAAACATGCCCTAGTGCTTCCACCCATACCGAGAATCGAACCATGGACCTTAGTTGTGTGAGCTGAGTGCGTACCAACCAAGCTATGGGACACCGTCACTTGTTTGTGACTATAATGCCCTTGATGCTGGTGAAGGGCTTTTTAATGAAGACGTTGGAGCTACACTCCACATTATAGGACCAGTCTTGATAATTTCATATTCGTTTAGCACTTCAGTAGTTCCTAGGAATATAAAAATTTTCTAGGAGCTGTATGGGCCATACAGGTTTAACACTGTATACATCAATGGTTTACAATACCGACAAGATGAAAATTAGATGTGTGCAAATTTAACACTGCATTGTCAATACCATATAATAATAATAGACTGATTTCATTGACTCCACAATCTTTTCTTCAACCTCAACCACCCACCCCTCAAGAGGGTGTCCTCAATAGAGGAGCCTTGATTTTAATGAGGGCTCTTTTTCCAAGGAATTGGACCTAGCCTTGTCTTCCCTGAATCGAACTTTATTGCCTCCATCCCCAGGCACTATATGACCAATGTGGGTTTAGTACTTCAGTACTGTGATACAGTATACCATGAATTGGAATGCAATTAGATTGAATAAGATTGTTATAGCACGATTGAGGAATTGTAGACGAAAACATACTTTCCATAGAAAAAGGACTGATACTGAAACATTTTGTATAGAGGGAAAAGATCAGTCTAGATGCAAAATTGATAGTGTGTGCTGCTGTGGATTGTTTCCTCTATGCCACTGGGCCTATGGGTGAGGTTCCTTGATGTTGGTGAGAGGCTCCACGTCAAAGGAACTGGCCCTGTGTTCATCTTGAATCGAGTCTGAATGCCTTCCATTTCACCAGGTTCTGTATGACCCCCTGTGGGTTTGGTGTTCATCCCGTGAATGTCCTGTGTGGCAGCCTAGTGATTAGAGTTGCTGCCTGACCACCATGGCCTGGGGACCAAATCCTCTGCCAGAAAATGGCAGTGACCTGTTTATCAGTCAATTTTGGATCTTTTAATCACCCCAACTTGTGTGAACATTAACCATGGCAGATGGATACTAACAAATCAGCAATTACCAAGTGTGAATATTTGATGATATTGAAGAATGCATTAAATTTAGATATGCTTGAGGGTGTTGCAGTGTGATGCATTACTCTGTATATCGCACAATTTTAGAGGAGTGGGGATATTTGCAGTTTTAAACTGCATTATCGGCACACCTCTGGCAAGACTGATGGAGTGAGTGATGGTGAAAGTGTTTCTTTTTTGGGTCGCCCTGCCTCAGTAGATAGGATACAATATGGATAAAATACTTTATTTCAACTATTTTAGACAATTTTAAAAATAAATTGTATGCCCTTTTATAGATTTTTAAAAATGTAATCCTATTTTTCTCATGTTCTTCAGAATAATTACACTAAATTATATTACATGCTAGTTTTCAGGAACATAACTACTCATAATTAACATAATTAACTGTAATTCAAGGAGGGGACCATTAATGCTGATGAAGGGCTCTTGATGCAAGGAATTAGAGCTATCTTCTCCTTCCTTGGATCAAACTTGATATTCTAATTCCCAAGTGCTTTATGGGTATAACGCTTCCTTAGCCTGAGTACTTCCCCTCCCCCAGCCTAGCTACTTCCCCCTCCCTAGACCCAGTCTAGCTACTTCCCCCCCTAGACCCAGCCTAGCTACTTCATCCCCCTAGACCCAGCTTAGTTATTTCTCCCCAGCCTAGCTACGTCCTTTCCCCCAGACTCAGCCTGGCTACTTTCCCTCCCCAGCCTAGCTTCCAACAGCAACAACAACAATAGCACCTACAACAACAATAACAGCTACACAGCGCTGTAAGACCCTTGTGGGTTTAGCACTTAGTTTTGATTATAATAGCTACAACTACAACAATTACAACAGCAACAACAATAACAGCTACGACGGCAACAAGCTACAACAACAGTTACAACAACTATAACAACCCCAATGGAAATAAG